CTGGGCCAGGAAAGCTGAAACTTATGTGGAAGCATCCTTAGGTAGTGTAGATATTAAATTGTTAAAATCATGACCCCCGAGGTTAGGGCGGGGCCACAATAGGGAATCCAAGTTTTACATAGAAATATATAGAACAAATCTTTGAAAATCTTCTTCTCAAGAACCACTTGGCCAGGAAAGCTGAAACTTATGTGGGAGCATCCTTTGGTAGTGTAAATATTAAATTGTTAAAATCATGACCCCCGGGGGTAGGGCGGGGCCACAATAGGGAATCCAAATTTTACATAGAAATATATAGAACAAATCTTTTAAAAATCTTCTTTTCAAGAACCACTTGGCCAGGAAAGCTGAAACTTAAGTGGAAGCATCCTTGGGTAGTGTAAATATTAAATTTTTAAAATCATGACCCCCGGGGGTAGGGCGGGGCCACAATAGGGAATCCAAGTTTTACATAGAAATATATAGAACAAATCTTTAAAAATCTTCTTCTCAAGAACCACTGGGCCAGGAAAGCTGAAACTTATGTGGAAGCATCCTTAGGTAGTGTAGATATTAAATTGTTAAAATCATGACCCCCGAGGTTAGGGCGGGGCCACAATAGGGAATCCAAGTTTTACATAGAAATATATAGAACAAATCTTTGAAAATCTTCTTCTCAAGAACCACTTGGCCAGGAAAGCTGAAACTTATGTGGGAGCATCCTTTGGTAGTGTAAATATTAAATTGTTAAAATCATGACCTGGGGGTAGGGCGGGGCCACAATAGGGAATCCAAGTTTTACATAGAGTTTATTGAACAAATCTTTTAAAATCTTCTTTTCAAGAACCACTAGGCCAGGAAAGCTGAAACTTATGTGGAAGCATCCTTGAGTAGTGTAGATTTTTAAATTGTTAAAATCATGACCCTCGGGCGTAGGGCGGGGCCACAATGGGGAATCCAAGTTTTACATAGAAATATATAGAACAAATCTTTAAAAAAGATCTGCATCACCCAAGTTACTCAGGTGAGCGATGTGGCCCATGGGCCTCTTGTTAGTTATGAAATGTGAAGAATTTCTCTATAAACAAGTATCTCATGAATGGGATATATTGCATGAAAGACAGTATGGTGATCACAGAGATAGCATGGAAAAATATACTCACAGTATTGTATTTCTTGTTACTTGTATTAATGTTTTGTCAATTGTTATTTTAGTGTGATAGCATATTGTTGCGCATGTTATTATCTATAGTATTTATAAATAAAATTCACAGATTATTCTATTTTGTTATTAATACCATACACCTTCTTTTAGACAAGCAGTCATTCAGATTATTCTGCTGTTTTTCTAACCCTTGTCAGTTGACATTTTTTCAGTCATCATGATTTTAGCAAACTATTTAGAAAGCCCAAATCAAATTATGACCTCATATAAGAAGATACAGTAAAACTAGTCTAATTTAGACATTTGATTCCCCCCTAATGGCCAGATTAGGCAACATTCCGGATGAGACAACATTTAAAACAATTGAATTTACTGCAAGGGACTTCAGTTTAAATCATATCTTTAAGACAAGATTTCAGATTACAAAAATCCAGATTAGACAAGTTTTACTGTATATATTATGGATAACCATGTCATATCTTGCATTTATACATCGATCAGGAGTAGTAGCCTGAAAGATTAACTTTTTATACCCCTGCTTTATACCTTCGCTCTAAAGGAGAGGGGTTTACTGTTTAACCCTTGTGTGTCTGTCTAGCTGTCTGTAACAAATTTTCATCGCAGTTTTCTCAGCAACTACTCGTCGCAGATGCTTGAAAATTTAACACAATCTTCTCTGAGGCATGCAATACGGTGGGATACATTTGTGTTCAAATCTGAAGTCAACTTCCTGTTTGTCTGTGAATCTGTCTGTTTCATACATAACAAATTTTCGTCACAGTTTTCTCATCAACTACTCATCTCAGGTGCTTGAAATTTTAACAAAATCTTCTCTGAGGCATGCCATATGGTGGGATACATTTTTGTTCAAATCCGATGTCAACTTCCTGTTTGTCTGTGCATTTGTGTTTCATGCATAACAAATTTTCGTCACAGTTTTCTCATTAACTATTCATCGCAGATGCTTGAAATTTTAGTACACTCTTTGTTGAGGCATGTCATAGGGTGGGATTAATTTTGATGTGAATCTGATGTCAACTTCATATTTTTCTGTGCATTTGCCCGTAATTGAACTTGTGTATATTAACATGATAGTGTTTATTCACATCAGACCACGGGTATTACTTAAGTGAGCATTGGCTCACAAATTTTTTGTTTTTTTAAGAGATATAGCTTTGCATACCTGTTCTGTAAATTGTCAATTACTTCTTTCATTGTTCAAGGATACTTTGTACACGCACAAAAAATTTGGATGTATTTTTTGGCCCTCTTGAAAAAAGGGAGCATACTGCTTTGTACCTGCTAATCATAGGTTAAGCAAAGTGTTGTAGGCTCAGTATCTATAGATTCTAAACCCTTTGACATCAAACTTGGTGTTACCTACTGAGTAGAAGACCCCTTTGATTTTGAGGTCACAAGGCCAAGGGTAAGCTGGACATGGGAAGATATTTTATACAATGTACTGTAAAATCACACATTTTTGTGGGGTCAAATTTTCAAGGTTTGAGGAATATATAGGTTTGTGGGGAGTTGATTTCGTGGTTGGATAATGTTTAGTAAGTAATGCATATGAAATTGTACATTTCGTGGTGGTCATTAATTCGTGGGTCTCTCAATACCTTGAAAACAACAAAAATTAAACTGCCACGAAAATTAGTGATTTCACAGTAAATGCTCAATATCATAACAAGAGGCCCAGGGGCCACAGCGCTCACCTGAGCACATCGGGCTTGAATTTACCCCTCCCCCCTCCAGGCGTTCATCATTTGAACAAACTAGAATCTACACTACCTGAGGATGATTCCATATAAATATCACTAATCATAGCTTTGAAGTACTTGAAAAGAAGATTCTAAAAAGTTTCCCTATATATCCCAATGTAAAACTTGGGTCGGCCATTTTGGCCCCACCCTAGCCCTGGGGGTCATGATTTGAACAAACTTGAATCTACACTACCTGAGGATGATTCCACATGAGTTTCATCTTTCCTGGCCCACTGGTTCTGGAGAAGAAGATTTTTAAAGATTTTTCCTATATATTCCTATGTAAAACAACGGTCGGCCATTTTGGCCCCACCCTAGCCACGGGGGTCATGATTTGAACAAACTTGAATCTACACTACCTGAGGATGATTCCACATGAGTTTCATCTTTCCTGGCCCACTGGTTCTGGAGAAGAAGATTTTTAAAGATTTTTCCTATATATTCCTATGTAAAACAACGGTCGACCATTTTGGCCCCACCCTAGCCCCGGGGGTCATGATTTGAACAAACTTGAATCTACACTACCTGAAGATGATTCCACATGAGTTTCATCTTTCCTGGCCCACTGGTTCTGGAGAAGAAGATTTTTAAAGATTTTTCCTATATATTCCTATGTAAAACAAGGGTCGGCCATTTTGGCCCCACCCTAGCCCCGGGGGTCATGATTTGAACAAACTTGAATCTACACTACCTGAGGATGATTCAACATGAGTTTCATCTTTCCTGTTCCAGTGGTTCTGGAGAAGAAGATTTTAAAAGATTTTTCCTAGATATTCCTATGTAAAACAAGGGTCGGCCATTTTGGCCCCACCCTTGCCAAGGGGGTCATGATTTGAACAAACTTGAATCTACACTACCTGAGGATGATTCCACATGAGTTTCATCTTTCCTGGCCCAGTGGTTCTGGAGAAGAAGATTTTAAAAGATTTTTCCTATATATTCCTATGTAAAACAAGGGTAGGCCATTTTGGCCCCACCCTAGCCCCAGGAGTCATGATTTGAACAAACATGAATCTACACTACCTGAGGATGATTCCACATGAGTTTCATCTTTCCTGGCCCAGTGGTTCTGAGATTTTTAAAGAATTTTCCTAGATATTCCTATGTAAAATAAGGGTCGGCCATTTTGGCCCCACCCTTGCCCCAGGGGTCATGATTTGAACAAACTTGCATCTACACTACCTGAGGATGATTCCACATGAGTTTCATCTTTCCTGGCCTAGTGGTTCTGGAGAAGAAGATTTTTAAAGATTTTTCTAATATATTCCTATGTAAAACTTGGGTCGGCCATTTTGCCCCACCCTTGCCCCGGGGGTCATGATTTGAACAAACTTGAATCTACACTACCTGAGGATGATTCCACATGAGTTTCATCTTTCCTGGCCCAGTGGTTCTGGAGAAGAAGATTTTTAAAGATTTTTCCTATATATTCCTATGTAAAACTTGGGTCGGCCATTTTGGCCCCACCCTTGCCCCGGGGATCATGATATGAACAAACTTGAATCTACACTACCTGAGGATGCTTCCACATGAGTTTCATCTTTCCTGGCCCAGCGGTTCTGGAGAAGAAGATTTTTTAAAAATGCCATTAATTTTTAACAAATTGATGATTATCTCCCCTTGGAAAAGGGCGCGACCCTTCATTTGAACAAACTTGAATCCCCTTCACCCAAGGATACTCTGTGCCAAGTTTGGTTGAAATTGGCCCAGTGGTTCTTGAGGAGAAGATGAAAATTTGAAAAGTTTACAACGACGACAACAACAACGACAACGACAGACAAATTTTGATCAGAAAAGCTCACTTGAGCCTTCGGCTCAGGTGAGCTAAAAAAACCCTGACATACATCAAATTCTGACAGCTGGTTCTTCTTTTAAAATAGTAAACATCCCTTCTGATTTTTAGATCACAGGGTAAAAAGTCAAGGGTCAAACTGGACATTTGAAGGCATTGTCCAGTCAAAAACTTGTGGACCCTTTGCTTGACAGAGAACAAGCTGAACAAATGAGATTATAAACATTAGTACTTCAAAATATTCTACCAATTCATTGGAACACAGTTAGACATTTAAGGTCCTTGAAATCTTGATTTACATGTACCTTCTTACTCCTGTAACAAAAGTATCTGAACATTCCTGTCAAAATGAGTGTTTTGTTTTTTCCAGTAGGTAATTTTCCTTAAAGAAGCTTTGGTGAAACCCCAATTTAATAATAATCTAGTTTATAAAAGAGTGTATGAGATGCCCCTTCTTGACAATGAAACCGTTTCATGCAGATTATCTCCAGGGTACCAAAATAATACAATGAACAATAGCAATTCCACAAAATTTAATATATATATATTGACTACACTTAATTTACTAAATAAATACAATTAAACATATAAATCACCTTAAATTAATATTTAGGTATTTGTTGACTTCAAACCAATATCTTTATTGTCAACGTTCAAATCAGACTTCCAAAAAAGGTGTGCCTGGCCTTAACTCCATGTCATAATTGTAAAAAAAAAAAAAAAAAAAAAATTTTAAAAGTTGGGATAAAAAAGAAAACTAAAAAATTGTTTAAAGAGTATAATAGAGTTAAAAACCAGAAGTCTCTGTCGAGACTGAAGCTCTACTGGTTTGTACTTATAGCAAAGGAAGAGAAAAGTACTTAAGCAGTTGAAAATTGAAACTTTTCAACAGCAATAAATAGAATAATGATCCTTGATTAAGGTAGATCGCGGGTTTACTGTCTGCCTGAAAACATACTCTGAAAATCTGTCAGCATAATCCTCTCGTTTCAAATTTTACTTTCTGAAATTTGTTTGAGATTCGTCTGCGAGGTTATATTGTTATTGTATTTCAAAGGCACTAATGTTGATGAGAACAGGTGACGCTATTACAATGAAATATATATAGTAAATGTGCCTTTCTCGTCAGTAAACGCATTTCAAAACCATGCTCATAATATGAAAACGGCACAGACGAATTTAATATTACTCAACAAAATGAATGCGAGATAAATTTAGAATCGATCTATTAAAAAAAATTAATATGTGTTCTCGCTCATTTTCTCGCAAAAAAACTTTAAAGTTTTACAAATTGGTAACAAACGTATATAATTTCATTAAGACATTATATAACGTTAGTGCGACGTCACTATTTTCATACGTCTCAAAATCACAATGCAATTAACAATTCACTGAAAATAAAACATGTTTTATCCGTATTTTCAATTTTTAATTGATTGATAATAAATGTTTATGTAAACATTGTCATAATTTACCTATTAGAAATTGTCACACTTTTTTTCAATGATCGAAATACAGAGTCATGTTATTTGTTTTCTTGATAAACTCAAGCAGTGCTGAAAAGTTAAAACAAATCTTCAAATATATATGAGAACAAAATTATTGATTAATCCTTAATTTCTTATTACACATAAATAAATATTTTTACAGACAAAAGAAGCTTTTATGTTTGTTTTATTTTATAACGCATACTGATGGAAATAGTTTTTGCTTGTTTGTAGTTTGATACTGTAAACGTAGTAATCTTTTACGTCGAATCCTATTGTGACGTCAGCAAACCCGCGATCTACCTTAAGTCTCTTTATGTTCTTAGTGCAGTCTACTTGCATTCCACATTTATATTATAATCAGACTAAAATTGTATTTGGAGTAGCATTTTGAAAGAATTTCACAGAAATTTCTATTTTTAGTAACCACGGCAACACCGTTCATCGAAATCAAAAACCGATACACAGAATTATGTATCTTATTGTAGTCTACTTGTGTGCCAAGTTATATTGAAATCAGACTAAAACTGTAGAAGGAGTAGCATTTTGAAAGAATTTCACAGAAATTTCTATTTTTAGTAACCAAGGCAACACCGTTCATCGAAATTAACCAGAAGTCTCCTGGTTTGTACTTATAGCAAAGGAAGAGGAAAGTACTTAAGCAGTTGGGAATTGAAACTTACACTAGCAAAAAAGAGAATAATGATCCTTGAATTAGTTTCTTTATGTTCTTAGTGTAGTCTACTTGCATGCCACATTATATTATAATCAGACTAAAACTGTATTTGAAGTAGCATTTTGAGAGTAACAGAAATTGCTATCTTTATTAACCAAGGTAAAAATGTTCATTGAAGTCAAAAACGGATAAAAAGAATTATGTACCTTAGTGTAGTCTACTTGTATGCCAAGTTATATTGAAATCAGACCAAAACTGTAGGAGGAGTAGCATTTTGAAAGAATTTCACAGAAATTTCTATTTTTAGTAACAACGCCAACATCGTTCGTCGAAATCAAAAACCGATACACAGAATTATGTATCTTAGTGTAGTTTACTTGTGTGCCAAGTTATATTGCATTCAGACCAAAACTGTAGGAGGAGTAGCATTTCGAATGAATTTCATAGAAATTTCTATTTTTAGTAACAACGCCAACACCGTTCGTCGAAATCAAAAACCGATACACAGAATTATGTAACTTAGTGTAGTCTACTTGTGTGCCAAGTTATATTGAAATCAAACCAACACTGTAGGAGGAGTAGCATTTTGAAAGAATTTCATAGAAATTTCTATTTTTAGTAACAACGCCAACACCGTTCGTCGAAATCAAAAACCGATATATAGAATTATGTATCTTAGTGTAGTTTACTTGTGTGCCAAGTTATATTGAAATCAGACCTAAACTGTAGGAGGAGTAGCATTTTGAAAGAATTTCACAGAAATTTCTATTTTTAGTAACAACGCCAACACCGTTCGTCGAAATCAAAAACCGATACACAGAATTATGTATCTTAGTGTAGTCTACTTATATGCCAAGTAATATTGAAATCAGATCAAAACTGTAGGAGGAGTAGCATTTTGAAAAATTGTTTACAGACAGACAGACAGACAGACAGACGGACAGACGGACGGACGCCGGACGCATTACTATCGCATAAGCTCTTCTGGTCTCTGACCAGTAGAGCTAACAAGCACACATCACATCATAAATACTGGTACTGTAATATATGTACACAACTTGCTTTTACAAAGAAAAACTTCTAAACAGTGACTCTACAACAATATACTCTCCTGGTTTGAAGCAATGATAAGATATATAGCAAAAATACAAAAAGATGGACGGAAAATATGAACTGAAGGTAGTTCAGTCTTTATCACAGTAGAGATTGATATGAAAGTTTCACAAGCACCAACCAAAACATCAACAAAATTAATGACTAATCCCCCACAACACACCCAGAGAAATGGAATTTGGCCACAAGTAGATTTTCACTGTGTGTTACAATAGTAACATTTGTGTTAAATATGTTAGAATTTTAGTTAAAACAAGTGATTACAAGCTACAGTGACTGAAAACATTACATTGTGCCTTTTTTGAACTTCTCAATGTTTATTTTACAATTGCATTTTTGAAGGTTAGAAATGACACTAAGGAAAAAAAAATTTTAAATATCATTTTTTGAATATTAATATCTTATAAAACTCAACATAGATATGAAACTCAATGAATTAAATTCACTGAGGGTTAATATTTACTTAATAAAAAAAATACATTAAGAGAAAAAAATCCCTTGTATGTTTCCTGCTGTAAAAACCCTGATAATTAACAAAAGAATCTCTGGCCCTGCCTAGCAGTGACAAAGATAGGTGAGATTCAGAGCAGGTAAATGGTGCCTCAATCTCACACCTTTAACAACTGAAACAGAGAGAAATAAAATGGACAACAATATCATATTCAGGATTAATAGTCACACGAAATCATTAATACACAAACTCAACGATATTTACCGATTCAGTATTTTTCTTTTTGAAAAAATGAACCTTTACTGTAAATACACTTTAACACTTTTTTTTTTTACTTGATAAAGCATGATCCAAAAATAATGTACTAAGCCATGAAAAAATGAGGTGAGTCTAACTAGTAAATTTAGAAAATAACACCTAAATATGTCCATGTACACTCTCTAGTGCAGGTGTACTAAATCAGTGTCAACGTACACCGTCAGGTACAGATATACGGATAGTGTGCCTGCTACCACGCACCGGAGCTAAATGGGCTCCGGCTTCTGCTGGGGCTGACTGATCGGCTGCGAAGTCGACGAGACGGACTCAGGGAACGGGATCGAGAGCGAGTCCTGGAGGAGGGGCTGGAAGATCTAGTGGGGCTCCTGCTTCTTCGTGAGGCTCCCTGAAAATTCATTATTATGCTGTAGATCATGTAATCTTCACTTTTTTTTAAATTATACGTAATTTTTTTTTAAAAAAGAAGGAAGTCATCACCATCTGTGCAAAGATTCTTCTTAACACAATTAAGATATACCTGGATTTTATTAATTAGATAGGAAAATCATGATTTTAAAAAATGCCACAATGAGTACAAGAGGCCCATGGGCCACATCGCTCACCTGAGCACTAAGGATAGGAAAAAGTAGAAAATGTTTTTTTACTGTAAAGTTTAAATCCAAAAGTAGTCCCAAGACCAATCATGGATTTGCTATTTTTTAGAAAATGATTTTTAAAGAATTTTCCTATATATATCTTTGAAAACTTTGGTCGGCCATTTTGGCCCCGCCTTACCCCCGGGGGTCATGATTTGAAGAAAGTTGAATCCACACTACCTGAGCATGCTTCCATATAAATATGATGAATTATGGCTTTGTCATTCTTGAGAAGGAGATTTTTTAAGAAATTTCCTATATATTTCTATGAAAAACTTTGGTCGGCCATTTTGGCCCCGCCCTACCCCCGGGGGTCATGATTTGAACAAACTTGAATCTACACTACCTGAGCATGCTTCCATATATATATATGATGAATTATTGCTTTGTCATTCTTGAGAAGAAGACTTTTAAAGAATTTTCCTATATATTTCTATGTAAAACTTTGGTCGGCCATTGTGGGCCCGCCCTACCCCCGGGGGTCATGATTTGAACCAATTTGAACCTACACAACCTGAGAATGCTTCCATATAAATATGATGAATTATGGCTTTGTCATTCTTGAGAAGAAGATTTTTAAAGAATTTTCCTATATATTTCTATGTAAAACTTTGGTCGGCCATTTTGGCCCCGCCCTACCCCCGGGGTCATGATTTGAACAATTTGAATCTACACTGCCTGAGGATGTTTCTCCATAAGTTTCATCTTTCCTGGCACAGTGGTTCTTGAGAAGAAGATTTTTAAAATATGCCACCAAATTTTCATTTATTCCCAATTATCTCCCCTTGAATGAGGGCGTGGCCCTTCATTTGAACAAACTTGAATCCCCTTCACCCAAGGATACTTTGTGGCAAGTTTATTTGAAATTGGCCCAGCGGTTCTTGAGAAGAAGTCGAAAATGTGAAAAGTTTACAGACAGACGGACAGCTAGACAGACAGACGGACGCCGGACAAAATGTGCTCTGGTGAGCTGAAAATTTAGGAGTTTAATAGAGTGTATAACTTAAAGAAAAACAGAAAGTAAAAAAAAAAATAAATTAAAGAAGCCCTTTATGTAATAGTTTTGCAAAAATATTGATTGAAACCCTGCACCAGTTCATTTACAGAAAAAAATTCCTTGTCTTTGTTTTATAAGCTGTCTATGTTTTCATCTTTTATCGCAACTACCATTAAGAACAAATCCTCAACCTATCTCATAGCTAAGTGTACATTACCGAACCTCTATAACTTCAATCTGAAGAAATTGTAATTGTTGATGTAAAAATTTTCCAATAATAATTATTATGACTTTCTTTGAGAGAGCTTTATTCTGTATTTGTTTGACTATTACACAGACAAATGTATAAACTGTGTTTATTCAATTTTCTTTTGTATTTTCATTCATTATCATTGCCTGGGCTGTTTTATAATGGCCTTACCAGGGAAGCTCCCCTGCGGGTGCAGGCCTCTCCCTTCATCAAAACTTTGGCTCCCTGCATCAGAGCTGGCCAAATGTGGTGGTTCACAAGCGGTGCTGTGTATTCAGAATCATAGCTGCGACGGTATCTATGAAAAAAACCCAATACATAGCGAATCATGAAAGAGCATAAACTAAACTCCTTTACAAGGGAAGTAATTCATTTACTTATCAATGAAAATTCTCACTTGTTGTTGTCAAAGAGCTCAGCATCTGTAGCAACAGCAATGTCCAGAGGATGAGCGAGAGCACTCATGTTCCAGGCGAGTTTGCAGGCCTCGCGGATAAATGGCTGGATGATGGAGAAGGTTGCGTCGGGAGGAAGGAAGACCTTAGGGCTGCGGTTAAGAGCACGGATCACATCCTAAAGCAGACAAATATCAGTATGTAAATTGGGAATTTTATAGTCTTTTAAATGTCAATTACACTATTCTTCTTTATTCATTGTAACTTAATCACTGTAACAGAGTATGCAACTTCATAAAAGTACCTAACACATATAAATGTATGATTTACAATAACCTCAATTTTCTCTACAATTAGCAAATTAATTCTTATTATTGAAATTTGTGTTTTGTGCTCGGTGCGACGTACCGCGACCATTCCAGTGAGGTCACACAGGTCCGTGTTACGGTTGATGTAATCCTGTACGGCCTCCTCCAGCGTCTCAGGACCAATGTGTGTTGCTGCCAAGTTAGCCCTGACCTTCATCTTAAACTGACGGAATGCCAGCTTAGCTACACTGAAGGCCTCCTTAAGAATTATACAGAAAAAAATATAATATTTTATGCTTAAACAGAAATCAAAAATTGACCTAAAACTGTATTTTGAGAAATCATGATTTAGTAAGAGATCGTTATTGGCTGAATGGAGAAGACTTTTGAAATATCCAGATAAAAAAGACAACTATAAACCTGAATGCCCAGGAAGATGATTCTCTGATTGTTTTCGTAGTCGTCTGAGTATCTCCGCAGTGTGTCCATGGCATCGAGGCGATCCTGAGAAAACATGTCGTTCCAGCGGGAGATGTAGTTCTGCTGCCTGACGCGCTGTACGGGGTCGTCAATAGAGAGAGGGGAGCCCACGCGGGGGGTGTAGCGGTAGGAACCCAGGGAGCTGTATACATCACTGTAAAATTACAGATGGTTCTGAGTAATTTATTAGTTGTGAAGCTACTCATTATTTAAGCATTAAATAATATTGCAACGAAGATTTATTTTCAAATTCATTTCAAAATCTATAAGAAATCTGTGATCAAAACATTATGAGTGATCAGTGTACGATTATTTTAAAACATCAAAATATATTTTTTGTACGTGACAATATTGGGTTGTGAGTGTCATGCAAAACAGCTGTGACTTGTTCAATCATTAACTGCATAGTGTGGTATCATCATGTATTCTGTGATCTGTGTTAAATTTATTCCAAGCTTAAACATACATTGTCACAAAAACATGGAGACTCTAGCATGGAGCCATACTGAGAGGAACAGGTGATGGAGTGGTCAGAGAATTCTACTGTACCTTGTTACTGCTACACTTCTGTACTAATGCTACCAGGAGTTTACGAAGAGTCATGTTTCCTAAAGATCTAATTTTAACTTACTTTGGTCACATTTTTCAACTAAAGAGGAAGAAATTAATTTCCCAAGAGATGAAAGGGAGAGAGAGAGACTAGAAAGTAAAAGACTTAAATCTCTGTTACTTAACTTAGCAGAACTGTCTCTGAGTGAAGGTTGTAAATGTCTGCTAGCTGGGGACAATGTGCTGTTGATTTTTTGGGCAATTTTTTTTTTACATTTTTATAATTAAACTTTTTTTCCTGATAATTTTTCTTTTGGAAGCTGATGAAATACTCCAGCAATTTTTGAAATTCAAGTCATTTTCAAATGTTACTTGCGTAAACAATTTTCTGCCCCAGATATCCAGCAAGCTCCCTCAATTTTGACACAAAAGAAAGTAAGATAATATTGCCAGGTAATTGCAATACTAAGTATTAAATTTATTTTACTTGAGAAATGAAATGTCTTCAGAAGTTTTCTATAGAAATTTTAAGACAATTTCTGGTAAATTAAAAAAAAAAAACTTTCCTAAAGATGTTACTCCTCACCCCCTCCAAATATGGCAAAAGACTAATTACATGTAATTCTATAGTCATTAATGCTTCAGAATTACCCGTATGAGACAGTGTCGGTAGTGGTTATTCAGTCCCCTCTGGAAGAATGGCTGCCAGCTTACCTTCATATTCAAGTAAACTCCTAGGTCTGGCATGAAAGCTATGCAACATTTAAAATATTGTGCAATATTTATTTCGAAAAATACTTATGCTACTGTCATGATTCCATTCCTAATGGAGAACCTACCTGTCCAGGTAGCTCTTTTTGGTAGAAGCCAGAGACAGTTCATCCTTGAGGTTTCTGACCTGTCGCTCATAATCATCAATCAGGCCTGCTTTAGAACGCAGTTTGACAATTTCATCCTGAGCATCAGCTAGCCTGGAGAAGAACAGTGACATATAGGAGGGTATAATGATAGAAGGGTTATGAATTCTGGGGCCGGGGACAGGTGATACTCCTCCGTGACCTGGTTAACAGTGAGGACTAGAACTACAAGGCATGTGAAAATGTCCCCAATCCCACATGCATGAACTGTACTTATAGTTCTGATTTCTGAATTTATTTATTAATTAATCATAAATAGTCCTTGAATGATAATAAAAAAATAAACTTTTTAAATTTATGACAAAACTATTTTATCCAAATCATTTTAAATTCCAGGAACATTATCTTTTTCACAAGAGAAGTATTGTCTAAGTTAAATGCATATTCAGAAAATTTTAAGTGATATAAGTAAGAAAACAACTTAGTACACAGCCATATTCAAATTATTTAAGTTCACTACTCAGAAGTAAATAATAAAATTTTGTGAAAAAAAATCTACTATTCTCCATTGTTGTTAATAATCATGGAATGGGATACTCTGGATCTCCATGCACACTCTTGTTCAGTAGACAAGGTTTTGTTACATATTTGATTTATTATGCAAGATAGCATTGAGAAAAGTAACATAACTCATTGAATACTAATATGGCTATGCAGAAAATTTCTTTCAAAGGAGGTGGGAGTTAAGCATTGCCAGATCAATAACCTAGAATTTCAGTAAGAAAGACGACAAGCATTGCAGATTGATATCCCAAATACGATATTTCAGTAAGAGACTTTGTTTCATACTTTTTTCTCCGTATAAATATTTTTTGTAAAGTGAGAAGTTTCACAGCAAAATTTCTGAAAAACTTCCAGGGTATAAAACTTTTTAAAAGGAGGAGGGGGAGGGAAGCTGTTGATAACAATTCATTCTAAATCAGTATTCAAATTTGTAACATGCTTATCTGTATGATGAACTATTTGTTAACAAAAAACCTAATATGGGACAAATCAACAGTAACATGGTTATTATTTTCCAAAGCTCACAGGGCAAGCAATTTGATGATATTGTTAATTAATTTTCACACATATGAAGAGGCCTCCACTTGCTGCTGGAACTTTTTGTTAAACTGAATTAAACCATTGAGCAGGGAGAGATCTAATACTGCGAACTGGACCTTCATAAAATCAGTGGCGCAGTGGTCTACAAAGCAATGCAAAAGGAGTTCCAATAAATAATTAGGTCCAAATGAAGAGTTGTCTAACTTTTTTGGTTTGCTGGTGAATTTCAGAAAATCAGTTTCTACAAAGCAATCATATTTCAATAAAAATATTAGATCCAAATAAAACTCAAAAATGGCATTAGGAAAGAAAAATTAAACAAACTCTACAAAACCTTCCTGGATGTGATTATTTTTTTAAATAAAAATGCTAAAAGAACAAAATCGAAATAAAACAGAGAGAATGATAAATTAAAGAACAGCTCATGCAGACGATGATTAGAGAGACATTTTCCCATCACCAGGTGTTAGGCTACATGTGTAAAGCTATAGGGTCAGTGAAGCTAAGCCAAGCGCCGTGCCGTTCCCGACACCTTACCCAGGTTTTTTTTCCTCCCGCAATGTGGAGGACAAAATACTGTCATCCTTAGCAAAGCTGGAAGTTGACCGATATAGCGAATCTCTGCGAGCGGTCAGTAGGGCAATATCGTCACGGAGATGACGAATCTGGGTCTCGTAATCGGTCAGCATTCCCGCTTTTGATCGTAAGGTGCGCACTTCATCTTCTGCTAATGCTAATCTACATGAAGGAATATCAATAAAACCACACATGTTAACACTTAATATTCCAAGTGAGTATACTATCTGCCATAGTGGAAATAATCCTGTTTGGTGCTGAAAAAAAACTGCATTTCTTTTCACTATAAAATTTATAACTTAGGATAACTAATTCACTTTTAAAGCCCTTATTTTCTACATTTGAAAAATACTTCAGGACTTTATCAAAAAAGAGTTGCATTCAATCCAAACTAAAAGTATTAACATGCAAAATCTGAGAATTTCATTTAAAACTAAAATTACAATAAATCATGAACCTACAATTAAATGAAGAATTTAATGAGAACAATCTAAAATTAAAAAACCTTGAATAGAAACAAACATGTAAAATTGTCCACAATGCAAGCAAACTTTAGTCTGTAAAGTTGGAAGCAAAGTTGATACTAAAGTAAATAATATATGCAGGGAGATTAAGCGATGTCTGTGTATTAGGTGGACCACAAAGATAGTGCAAAAATAGAAGTACATGTACTACAATTGAACCACCACCGTTTGTAAAATACCGACAAAAATCAAGGGAAGAATAAATCCAACATTAAAGCTTTTCGTAAGCATGAAGAAGATGAAACATTACTGATTATTTGTTTTTTTTTTAAATGAAAAATTCCTTTAATTAAAATGACACTTGATATTACAGAGATGCCTGGGAGAGTGACTACAGAAAGCCGTACAAGACGAGGCCTTACTTTCTGCGTAGTTCTCGAACTTCAACCTCTCCCAACATTTTATTGCTAGTGGACTCCCTAAGACTTCTGTTTAGCTCATCTTTTGCTTCCATTAATCTGTGTAAAGACAAATAGAAGATTAAATTTCTTACTTTCTGCGAAGCTCTCGATTCTCGTTCTCCAGGAATATCTTGTCACTGTTCAATGTACGCATGCTGCGGTCTAATTCACTCTTTGTGTCATAAACTCTGTAATGGATTTGAGGGTTTGAAATGATTGTCCTTTTCAATTACATAAGCAAGAAAAAATTAATGCAACTTCCAAAGACTGTAATTGGAAATCAAATTCAGTCAAAACAAATATTTCATAAAATTTACTTATTCATTTCTTTTTTTTATAATAGCTAAAACTCATTCCAAAATTTCCATACACAGAAAATTCCTGTTCCACTATTTAAATCTAATATTGAGGTACATTTTCTTTCTAAAAGACAAGTAGCTTCTCTGCTTCCCAGTATACTCTATTCGATAAGTTTACTTTACTATTCTCTCCCTAAGGTGCTTATATTTTTCTATCGTACAAAAATAAACCTCCAGAAGGTCCTTAATCCTTCACAATATGCTTAGCAGCTATTTGTACAATACTCTACAAAATGTAAACTTTCCCTCCGCAGTGAATGAAACTTCTCTCCCCTAAATATTGATTTTCCTATCAACACCTACTCTTCTTTAAGTTCCTGAATCTCGGCATCCTTTTCTTTGAGGTCTACGTCCAGTTCGTTGAGTGAGGTCTCGTACATGTCCTGTAATTCGTCAATTTCCTTGTTCTTAGCAGCAGCCTCCGCGAGGACACTAAGGCTCGTATCGGCAGTGACAGACCCCCCCGAGGTGAAGAAATTCTGTCCAAGGAATGGCAAGAGGCGGGATTTGATGATGCTGGCTCCTCCATACATGCCACCTGTCAGTATTAAGGCAATGTTATACAAGCAAGAACAACATAACTTAAAATCATTGGAAATGTTAGTTTCTTTTATAGCATAGACTTAAATTTGTATATACTACTGGAAATAATTCTTAAATGTACATGTATATCTATATGTAATAGTATAGACAGATCAAACTAGTCTGGCTTAAATGTAAATGCACTTAAAAATCAATTTTAGAAAATGTCTTCAAATTAAACTGTGAAAGAAGTAATTTTTGAACAAGAATATGAAAACTGAGGAAACACTTCAGATAGACTTGATAAAAATAGTTCTTTAAATTATAAGGATTACTTTTGAAGAATTCTATTATCTTGGGACATTTGTAGAGTTTTGCTCTTGAATTTATTACCTACACTCCACAATTTGCTGTCAATTTCTAAAAGTGTTAATGCTTCAATATTAATTTTACTCTTATGGTTTAAAAAAATTTACCATAGATATTTATACTGCTAAAACATTTTGTACTGAACATTTCAAGTTTTATTGATATAAAGGATCAAATCTTTCACTGCATTGTGCATTGACAATGTCTCCTGTCACAATCGCTTTTACTGCATGATGGGTAAAACACAAAAGAACAGAAAGTTCAGGCATTAAAAGCCCCCAGGTGGAGCCATTACTTTACAAGCTGAGGGTACAATGGACAGATAAGTGGTCCATGTATTTAAGGTGCTAATCTTATTATGCCACAGCTAATTAACTATTCTGGTCCTGGTCCAACATGAAAATCTGTTTACATAAGTTCAGTATATACAATTTTACTTCTACAATCTGTGATTTATGCATTATCATGCAAACATGAGGGCTCCGTTAAGCTCTAACTTGGTATGTGCATTTTTTAAGGGAAGCTTCGTCTCCTTGCAATAATTTAAAACCATAGAATTTGAAAAACTTTTCCATCCCATCTCATTCTTAAGATTTGTTCCTAAGAATTTATCTTGTTTATTAAACTATGGAATCTACTTCATCTACATTGTGACAACACAGATCAAACAAGACAGTGTTAAGTTATGAAATCTCTAATAGAAGTAATGCTCAGTTAAATAGGGAAAAGAAAACGATTATTTTTAATTTTGTCATCAACTCAAACTTATCTCATACATACTTTAGTTTACTAAAACAAAATATATGCAGAAAACAATATGTAAAATTTTGTGAAGTAAAAGTTTGTATAAAAGGAATCAAAGTTATATAAGCAAATCTTCTGAATAAATATATTTGATTTAAAATATCCCAATACATTTTTCAATTTTTCATCAGACACTTTGCTCTGATTTTAGCCCAGTGACCTTTATACCTGACTCGGCCGTGACCTGGAGGAGTTTGAACAGCTGTCCTTGAACTTTGGCATTGAGTTCTACGATCTCACAACACCTGGCTACATTCTGGTCACATGTGTTTATCTACAAAATAAATCGTCATTTTTTTCATAACAGGTTTATATTTTCATTATTCATGAGACTCGGAGAGAAATCTGTTTTGTATGCTTGTTTACTCATAAATTGAGTTACTGGAGTAGATTATACATGTACAGCAGTATAAATAAACAATGCTGTACTAACTTAAAAGAATCATATAGCTTAAATTAATAGAACATACATTTTGCATATATTGTATCTAACCTATTATTCATATTCCTGTGTATTGCAAAACCGAAATTGAGGGAGGTTTCTTCTTGATATGACAAAATATGACCTTAATATAAGCAGATATTCAATTAATGTATATGTTTTCTTAGCAGTGTTTCCTGTTGTATCAAATTGTATATTTGATTATGATCAAATTCAGTTGGGACTCTACTAGCCACATTAACCTGGCTACTTGCTTAGTATTGTGGGACCTGGCAAATATCAGGGATGGGGTAATTGAATAAAGTAATTGTATTTTAGTGTAATTAATTACATTTTTCAAAGTAATTGGAAGTAATTTGTATTTGAGTGAGCTTTCAATTACAAGTAATTGAATGTATTTAAATACATTTCAAAAAAGGTCATGTATTTTCAATTACTTTTCAATTACATTTCAATTACTTTTAAAATTTTAAAAAATAAAAGTTTATATACTGATACACAGTTTTTACACTCGTGGATATAACCTATTCCCACTCTTTTGAAAATCTCAATTCTACCTATTCCCACTTGAAAGTAACAATAGATAGTTTAGATAGTTTGTTTTTACAGTAATTATAGACTAACTACATCTCCTTTCAGATTTACATGTGCATGTATTCTATACATTTTAAGATAGAAAATACTGAATAGATTTTAGAGAAATATTAATTTATTTTATTCAAAAATATGGATTCAAGAAAGTAACAAACCTCTTGTCATACACCATGCTGGTGTAGCATGGGCTTGTGTTTGTACAATAATTAAATGTCTCATAGTGTTAAATTTAATTTGTTTATACAGTGTGTAACACTGCCCAAGTCATTATAGGCAAAGGTCTTAATTGGTCAAGGTGTGAACCCCTGTCAAGAACAAAAACACCGAATAAAAATTCACTATAAAAAAAATCTTATTTTTACAAAAAAAAAAAATTCTTTTTTTTATTTTTAAATAAGACTCAAGTAATTGAAATGTATTTAATTACATTTGTCAAAGTAATTGAAAGTAATTGATTACATTTGAAAAAATCAATGTAATTGTAATTGCAAGTAATTGACAAAATTATCAATGTATTTGAAAGTAATTAATTACATTTCAAAGTAATTGACCCCAAGCCTGGCAAATATAGGAAAGATCGAGTCACTTTAACATGTTTTACAAATGTGTTCATTTTGCCAGAGTACCTTGATCGAAATTCAAAAGCTTCACATTTTAGAGTAAGCTTTGAAAATCATTATATTACATCTTCAAGGATGTCATGCTGAACCTATCAAGTTTTTTGGCTCACCTGGCCTGATGTAAGTGCACAACTGCCTCACAATTGTATTGCCAGTCACCCCCCTGTTATCCAGGCTTCCCAGATTGTCAGAATTAAGTATACGATATATTCTCCATTTTCTTTTTTACTTATAGTTATAAACTTAAACAGCAGTGAACTTTACAATACACTTTTAAAGCAGAAATTTTTGTTGCGATTAAATTTTGTTTATTCGTTGTTTACAGTTATGAACGAAATTAAATAAATCCCACACAAAATTTTCTTATGACTATATATTGAATAGCGTTACTTTTGAAACAGAGAAATTTAATGCCCACCAAACCATTTAAGATAACAAATCAACAAAATTTGATCCCCACGAAAATTTGCGTTTCTACAGTATTACAAGATTTTTTTTTCATTGGCACATAATTTACTCATCTTAATTGTTAATATATAATTCCAACTAACTTATAAGCGAGTATATATGGTACATATGCTTCGATTAAAAATATCTAAATATAATCTGAAAACCAGACTTTTTTACCACTTCAAACAAATTGATTCAAAAAGGTATATCGTGTAATAGTATTCCATCAAAGAAATGCTTGATCTCTCATTTAATCTGCACCATGGTTACTTGCTGAACCATAAGTGCTTCTTGAATGAAAACTTAGAAAATAAATGAGTTTGACATGTTTTGTAGTTATCTTGGTAAATAATTAATGTCTTCCTGATATATAGGACAGTGATAATTTGAGTCTAGGTTTATGGACCTTTTGATAAAGAGAATAAACAATTACACTTGTGTTTTTAGCTGCATTCATTTAGCATAAAACTATGTGTTATTACACTTTTCTACATATTCATTTAATAATGATGATCATTTTTTCAAGTTAAAATTTGTACAATAAATCAGACTTTTTTTTTTTATTAGAAAGCATTTAAATCACATTGGATTTTTTTTTTCATTAGAAAGCATTTAAATCACATCTTCATTTAATTTGATTTTAACAAATAATAAACCATACAAAAAGAAATTCAAAATTCCCCAAAGTAAGTACAATGTAAATAAATAACTACATATTAATACAAATAAATATGTCTAAAAAGATATATAGGAACAGCAATAAAAGTCCCATTCCTAGATTTCTAAAAACTATTGATGAAAACAATCAAGAGCTTTGAGTACTTTTATTGATCTGTTGTTGCAATGACCTTTTATGAAAGTTTTTTCATGATTAGAATTACATGGGCTCGGTTTAAATTTAATGGAACTTTTACCTGGTAAGCAGGTTCAGACCTGATTCCAAATTTAAATGTCTACAGAGAAGCCGGAACTTGCTGAGGCTTGCAAATTCCAATCAAGTGGCGGGAATACACACCTAATTCAGTGTACGCTATCAAAGGCATGCTGATTACGTTTATTCATTGACATTTACATACGGCAATGGAATCTGGTTATTGACATCTAGATTAGTCAAAAGTGTTTAAATTCCTGCTAGTTTAACGTCACAAAATTTAGGGAAGAGTAAATACACACTGTGCCCAGTATCATTAAACTTTACACGAAGGTTTTCTAATGTTGCTTCTTTACAAATGGTTTACTTAAGATAAGATAGATGTAAAAGACGCATGTATATACATATGTATATTTTGTTACAGAAAGACACTACCATGTGCAGAGACCACTCACAGTATCTGCACAAAAGAGAGCAAACTAATAATAATTCTAGAAAATACAGAAAAATCTTTTTTCTTTCTTTTGCTGAATGTATTCATCCTACTTTTATAATCAGCAAGGTGTTATGAATAGAAAGGGTCAGTCCATACTCTGAATACAATTTCAAAAAAAAAAAAGCTTCATATGAATGCAAACTTTCATAATGAAGATTAAAAAAAATAACAAAACATGATTTATTACTTATCAAACCCCCAACAAACTCCTGTATACTTTCTTTTCTATCGTAAAAATTATGGAAGTTTAACATGAAAGTATGAATCAGTATTGGACATTTAAATGGGTAATAAAAGAGGACTGGAACAAGATGTTTGTTTACAAAGACCCCTTTTGATAATTTTATCAAGTTTGTATATGTTATTTTATGACATGATTTAAACAATTGCCTTATTTAGTAGCCAATGACACTGATACACTAAGAACTGTGAGTGGGGTAATTGCCGACAACTGCTGACAACTGATTGCATTGTAATCATGTAATCAAGATATCTTGAGTCATGTCTCACATTTACACAAAGTTAGTATTCGAAGTTTTGAACATACTGAATGAATTTCTTAAAACATTTTTAACTGGCAAATGAAAACAATATCTGACAGATACCCATTATCCCCAAGAAGGTATATAAAAATTATTACTTGGATATCAATCAAAATAAATTATTTTTTTATTATGTTTATTACATGGAATCTTAAGTCTTAAATGAGCAGTTTTCTTGCATATTATTTTTAAACAACGGTAAAGATCGAACAAATGTGACATGAACTTGAGGCATTGCCGATTGAATGAATTGGTAACATTTGTAGGTCCTATATTGGAACGGAATTTATAACTATCACACAAATTATGCACTCTAACTGTATTAAAATTAAAAACAATTCTTGTTTTTAACTCAATACTTTTAAAACTGATGATTTGCAAAAATGACATTTATCATTTCAAGGCCAGTGCAGGTGTCCTTAAACCTTAGCAACCGAGTCCAGACTTGAACGAAATATAATGGTGTGAATTGCAGTAAAAACTAACGTAATTCATAGTTGCATACAAAAACGTACTCATTCTATTATTCTAAACTTACGTAGTAATTGTCCAGCCACCTCTCTAGTTTCTCTTGGAGCACAGTGAATGTACCGATATTCACAAGACGTCTCAAAGATTCCGCCATTTTCGACGCTCTTTCTTGGATCCGGGTTTTGGTAGAACTGCTCATGCGCAAAACTCTAATTTTAAATCGAAGACGTCACGATAATTCCGGACAAATATTTTTAGCTCACCTGATCCGAAGGCTCAAGTGAGCTTTTTGCACATTTTTATACACCGCGCCGTCTTTGATTTATATCGTCTGTCCGTCCCTCTGTAAACTTTTCACATTTTCATCTTCTCAAGAACCAATGGGCCAATTTTAACCAAACTTGGTACATATAGGATCCTTGGGTGAAGGGGAGTTTAAAATGAAGGGCCAAGTCCCCTTACAAGGGGAGATAATCAAGAAAAGACAAAAATAGGGTGGGGTCACTAAAAAATTTTCTTCTCAAGAACCACTGGGCCAGGAAAGCTGAAACTTATGTGGAAGCATCCTTGGGTAGTGTAGATATTATAAAAATCATGACCCCCGGGGGTAGGGCGGGGCCACAATAGGGAATCCAAGTTTTACATAGAAATATATAGAACAAATCTTTAAAAATCTTCTTCTCAATAACCACTGGGCCAGAAAAGCTGAAACTTACGTGGAAGCATCCTTGGGTAGTGTAGATATTAAATTGTTAAAATCATGACCCCCGGGGGTAGGGCAGGGCTACATTAGGGAATCCAAGTTTTACATAGAAATATATAGAACAAATCTTTAAAAATCTTCTTCTCAAGAACCTCTGAGCCAGGGAAGCTGAAACTTATGTGGAAGCATCCTTGGGTAGTGTAGATATTAAATTGTAAAAATCATGACCCCCGGGGGTAGGCGGGGCCACAATAGGGAATCCAAGTTTTACAAAGAAATATATAGAACAAATCTTTAAAAATCTTCTTCTCAAGAATCACTGGGCCAGGAAAGCTGAAACCTATTTGGAAGCATCCTTGGGTAGAGGGGGAACCTGGTAAAGATCTGCATCACCCAGTTACTCAGGTGAGCGATGTGGCCCATGGGCCTCTTTTTTTATAGCCAATTGCTCCGGTGAGCGATGTGGCCCCTGGGCCTCTTGTTTTGTTTTAGAATGACTGAGTATTGACACAACCGATTTGCTACTTTATATACTGTGCCCTTAAATTTACATCACAAAAAGTACGTCATATTTCCAACATTTAAACGCTTTTTTTTAAAGGCAGATTAGTCCATGAAATCATTAATTTTTATAGAAATAATAAAAGGCATGAAAAAAGTACATGTACTTTCAGTAGTACAAGATACATTTGCAATGACACCAGCTGCTACATGTTTAGATAATTTTTGTCTTAATCATTCTTCAAGTTTTTGGGCAGAAATTAATAAATCAGTCCATAAATAACACTGAAGATAAATTAGATTTTCAATGAAATTCCATGTGCCTGATAACAGTGGATGTTTTGCTTCTTCAACTTTTTATGTAAACTCAAAGGAAATGATGTATAATAATTCAGCAGTAATTTTCACTATCCACAATCTGTGCCCTGCATCTCCTTTTATTACACACAAACATGCAGCTAAGGTATTAAATGCAAGTGTGAAACAAGAGGCCCATGGGCCACATTGCTCACCTGAGAAGCTTTGACCATTCTGTTCTTTACCAGATTTCCCCCTTGTTATACATAATGCATCCCAACCCTACCCCACTGATCATAATTTAGACATTTTGAAATCTACACTACCCATGATCCTTCCATGGGCACATATGTTTCTGCTTTTTTGGCCCAGTGGTTCCTGAGAAGAAGATTTTCAAAGATTTTTCCTATATATTTCTATGTAAAACTTTGATTCCCTAAAATGGCCCCGCACTTCCCCCGGGGGTCATGATTCCTACAACTTAGAATCTACACTACCCCAGAATGCTTCCACATAAGCTTCACTTTTTCTGGCCCAGTGGTTCTTGAGAAGAAGATTTTCAAAGATTTTTCCTATATATTTCTACTTTGATTCCCCATTGTGGCCCCGCCCTTCCCCCGGGGGTCATTATTTGAACAATTTAGAATCTACATTATACCAGGATGCTTCCACATAAGTTTCAGCTTTTCTGGCCCAGTGGTTCTTGAGAAGAAGATTTTCAAAGATTTTTCCTATATATTTCTATGTAAAACTTTGATACCCCATTGTGGCCCCGCCCTTCCCCCGGGGGTCATGATTTGAACAATTTAGAATCTACACTACACCAGGATGCTTCCACATAAGTTTCAGCTTTTCTGGCCCAGTGGTTCTTGAGAAAAAGATTTTCAAAGATTTTTCCTATATATTTCTATATAAAACTTTGATTCCCTATTGTGGCCCCACCCTTCCCCCGGGGGTCATGATTTGAACAATTTAGAATCTACACTATACCAGGATGCTTCCACATAAGATTCAGCTTTTCTGGCCCAGTGGTTCTTGAGAAGAAGATTTTCAAAGATTTTTCCTATATATTTCTATATAAAACTTTGATCCCCCATTGTGGCCCCGCCCTTCCCCCGGGGGTCATGATTTGAACAATTTAGAATCTACACTACCCCAGGATGCTTCCACATAAGTTTCAGCTTTACTGGCCCAGTGGTTCTTGAGAAGAAGATTTTTTAATGACCCAACCCTATTTTTGTCTTTTCTTGATTATCTCCCCTTGCGAGGGGATATGTCCCTTCATTTTAACAATTTAAATTCCCCTTCACCCAAGGATGCTTTGTACCAAGTTTGGTCAAAATTGGCCCAGTGGTTCTTGAGAAGAAGTCGAAAATGTGAAAAGTTTACAGACGGACGGACAGACGGACAGACATACGGACGGACGACGGACAAAATGTGATCAGAAAAGCTCACTTGAGCCTTCGGCTCAGGTGAGCTAAAAAGTGAGCATCTTATTCTGTAAACTTAACACTTGTATATTGACATGTCAAGTATCAAATCATAATCTCCTGAAAAAAAGAGCATAACCAAAAGTCCCCAACCACAAAAAAAAAAATCAAATCAAAGGAACCATATTCTATAAACATTGGTTAACTTTCAATGAAACTAAAACTGGTGTTGTAAATTCTTTTTGTGGAGTCATGTTGAGATTCATCTTTCATGACTTAAAAAAGGTTTAATCAAAGGCCTGAAGGGCCTGCGAGTTGACTCGCTCGAGTCAATTGAGCTTTTTAATACATCTGGGCACCATACCTTAATATATTTAGTTTATTTTGCATCTTAAGAGATTGAATATTAGATGTCTGATCCATGTTCGGTTCATAAATAAAGTGTATATTGCTTTTCCTTTATATATACAGGTTGGCACTCATGGGCTTCCGTATTATTTTGACTGGATTCTATAATGAATTTAAGCACATTAGCTGAAGTGGTCAGTGTTATGAAGTAATTAGGTTAAAGATTCCCACAGCAAATCTGGATTCTAAAAATAGATTTTCAACAACAACTAGCTGCAGCTAATGAGAGCAGCAGGTGTTTGTGAGAGGGAGTATTCTAGGTCAATTATAAATAAACTTCAGATGGGAAGATTAGATCCGCCTAACATGCTTGTACATATATTCATACGCAGTAATTGTACATCGTACAGGTATTTAATCAAAAATTTCTTTAAAAGCATGAAGGCATAAATAATGTTACAGTATGAAATTTTATACAGTTTTTACCTCTCAAGTTTATACAATCACTCAAACCAAAGCATCTTTTGCTAGAACTATAATATTTGGCGTATGGATCACCTTGATGAATGCGTGATAAATTTTACAGCTCTGAAATGGCTATGTCGACAGGGAGTAGCTCGCTACACGAGCCAAATCAAAAACTGAATTTTAGAGATGGCCAGCTAAGCAAACAAAAAGCCCCAAGCATAAACAAGTATATAAAAAAAGAACAAAAGAACATATATTTACAGTATACTTTTATTTTATTTTTAATTCAGTCTGAAATGTAGTCTTCAAAACACAGAATATTCATACACTGTCAAAATGTCACATATCATTGTAATGAACATTTACAATGGGTTACAATAACATTGTTTTCTTCTTACTGAAATATTAAGAGAAAAATCATATTTCAGTATTTCCAGACATGTCAACATTTTGTGCAAAATTCTGCTTAAATATAAATTTTTCATCTTTTCCAAAACATTTGCTTGGGCACACAGAAAACATAAATGTTTTAAGTTGTTTAAATATGTCAATATAACCTACGATAAAACCAGATCATTTCAACTGAATTTGATCTTTAAAAGAATTCTCATGATTTAAAGTGACTTGCAGACTCGTCACTGCCTCAGATGTCTGGTCAGCTATTGCTTGATGAATCCTGAAATGGCCTCCTGACAGTAGTTTAACACTGCTCGTTCCTGACAGTTCCACCTAGTAAATGATGAGTGTCCTCGGCTTCAGTTGATAGCACGGAGATAACTAGATGAGAAGTCCCTGGTCAGACTCCTTAGCTCCTGTAGTCTATAGTCTTCTGGCATTGGTAAATGTCCAATATGAGGGGCCATAAATCTGCAAACAATATCATTCAAGCCCAATTTTATAAATGTTTTAATAATTTTGTAAATTTCAACACACCTACAATTTTAGCAAAAACGTTCACAGTGAAATAGTTTTATGCGAGACTAACACTCACAGTAATACAATCAATAAGATAGGAATGGTCTTTCCATGAATTTGTACTTGCGTAATTTACACTCTATTGATACATGTATCTACTTTACCTTGCTGAAACCTCATTTTCTCCTTGTAAACTTAGGATGGTTCGGAACAACACAGCCAACCTTTTGGAGATCTCAGACTGGCACAATCTTAAAATGTTTCTTTAAAATGTTAATATTATGAATATACCACAACACTTTTTAAAAAATTTAAACATATTCAGAATTCATGCATGATGTTAAAAATAAATCTAATGGTCCTGCTTTTTACAATTTCCATTTGCTTTTACATGTACATGGTACATTCCTACGATATATTAAGAAATTCAAAAGAGTTGTAAAATTTTAATTTCACATTTCATGTGATATTACCACAATGCCTATAGCTAAATTATTTTGAAATTATATTATAAAAC